GTGTTTGATATGATTTCTCTCTTAGACCTTCACTTATATACATTTTTGAAATCTTCCCAGTGCCTGTGCTGGAGCTCTCAATAGACATTCACCTGAACTAAGCCCACCTTGGAAAAACACTGCTCCAGCCCGTGTGAGTGCAGACTCTGTGGTGGGGCATCCTGGTTTCTGTTTCCTGTTCCTTGTGAGATGGCTGTTTACTTCAGTTCTCCACAATCTATAATCATCCAATGCATTATTACTATTGTGATGCTAAGCAAGACATTATATTCTAGATCAATTAAGAGTAAGAAAAATAAAAGACTTTACCACCTCGTATTCCTTCCCCAACATTCTTGTTTCTGTAGATCTGAGTTTCTGATATACTGTCTTTCTTTTCCCGCAAGAACTTCTTTCAATGTTTCTTGCAGGGCAGGTCTGGTGGTGGTGAATTCTCTCTGTTTTTATACACATATATTTTTTATTTCTATAGCTTTCAAGGTACAAGTGGTTTGGGGTTACATGGATGAATTGTACAGCGGTGAAGTCTGAGATTGTAGCACACCTGTTATCCAAGTAGTGTCCACTGTACCCAATGAGTGATTTTTCCTCCCTCCCTGCAAGGCCTCCCCCTTCCTGAGTTGCCAATGTCCGTTCTATCACTCTGTCAACCTTTGCACACCCAGAGCTCAGCACCCACTTATAAGTGAGAACACGTGCTCCTTGTTTTCCACTCCTGACTTACTTCACTTAGAAGAACGGCCTCCCGCTCCGTCCAAGCTGCTGCGACAGAAATTCTGTCATTCTTTTCTGCAGTTGAGTTTGGGAAGTGTTCCACGGTGTGTACACACCACGTGCTCTCCGTCCACTCATCAGCTGACAGGACACCCCACATTCTCTCCGTCCACTCATCAGCCGACGGGACACCCCACATTCTCTCCATCCACTCATCAGCTGACAGGACACCCCACATTCTCTCCGTCCATTCATCAGCTGACAGGACACCCCACATTCTCTCCGTCCATTCATCAGCTGACGGGACACCCCACATTCTCTCCGTCCACTCATCAGCCGACGGGCACTTGGGTTAGCTCCATATCTTTGCAATTGTGAACTGGGCTGCAATAAACATACAGCTGTGTGTGTGTGTCTTTTTCATACAGTGACTTCCTTTGTGCACCCAGTAGTAGGACTGCCGGATCCAATGATGGGACCGCCTTTCAGTTCTTTAAAGAATCTGCAAGCTGTTTTCCGTAGAGGTAGAACTAATGTACATTCCCACCAACAGTGCACACACGCTCCTTCTTCACCACATCTACACCAACGTCTATTGTTTTCTGGCTTTTTAATGATGGCTATTAGTAAATGGCCATTTGCTTAATGGCCATCAGGTGATATGTCACTGTGGTTTTAATTTTCATTTCCCTGGTTCACTCTGTTTTTGTTTGTCAAAGTCTTTGTTTCTCCTTCATTTTTGAAGGATAATTT